GAACTCGTAAACTTACGTAGTTTTACAACGTAATACTCTGAAATATTACAAAAATCGTAAATCTATGGAATATTACGTCGCATTTAAATTCCAGATGAAGTATCTAAAGAAATATGAATCAAATTCAAGTTTTAGCAGATTTGAGTAGAATCCCTTGAAAATCAATTGTGAAGAAGGTTTTTCTAACTTCACAGCAGACCAATGGCGAACATTTTATACAATTTATGCAACTACTTTGCTTTGGAAATATTTATTAGTAATCGACTGAATGATTCTAACACATTTTGTTAGAGTTTATTCGATTTTAGTAGATTAAATTCTGGAACTCAATTTGATATAAGAAGCTCATAAAAGTTAATTAAAATAGTAAATCTTATCGAGAAGCATTACAAGCGTGATAAAATAATGCTAAATCTCAATCTTTTACTCCATTTACAAAAATGTTCATATAATTTCAGCCTTTTATACACTTTCTGATGCTTTTCATTTAATTCACCTCTGACATTCAAAATGGCGTTTTAATGTTAAAAATAACAATTTTTTTGTTTTTTTAACAAAAATCCATCTCTGATATTCAGATCAGCATTTTATTATAAAAATTAATTTTTTATTAATAAATGTCTCATCTGATTTTCGGTGTAGCATTTTAATATAAAAAATTAATAATAATTAATTTCTTTATTAATAAATACTATGTCTGACATTTAAGATAGTATTTTAATATAAAAAATTAATAAAAATTAATTTCTTTATTAATTAATGTTGCGTTGACTTTTGGGGTGGTATTTTAATATAAAAAATTAATAAAAATCAATTTTTTATTAATAAATGCTATGTCTGACTTTTGGGGCGGCATTTTAATATAAAAAATTAATAAAAATTAATTTTATTAATAATAAATACCATGTCTGACTTTTGGAATAGTATTTTAATATAAAAAAATTTAAAAATTAATATTAACTATTCGTTTCATTCTCCTGTTGTATTTTGATTATTTAATTCCTATACAATTTCTTAGAATCTGTGATCAATACTTTGAATACTATATTGAATATTTTCAGCTGGCTTATTTTCTAAGAAAAATTGATTATTATTGAGCATTTTCAGAACTTTCTGATGGATTTCAGTATGATCATTCAATAGGCAATTAGATTTAGATACTAAAGTTAAAAAATCACTTAATATATATATGTAATGTCATTATCTTTTTTTTGGGATTCTTCTTTATTTGCCAAAAATATATCATATATAAAAAATAGCATTCTATAGTATTTCGTATAGATCAGATCAGATCAGATTTAGGTAAAAATTCGATTTGATCTGAATCTGAAAAATCTGAATCTGATAAATCCAAATCTGATTCAATCTGAATCTGACAAATCTGAATACGTATCTGAATCTGTATTTGTATCTGATAGATCAAAATCTTTTTAACAAAAATCTACCTTCGTTGTTCAGAATAGTGTTTTAATGTTAAAAAACAACAATTTTGTTGCTTTTTTAACAAAAATCTGCCTTTGACGTTCTGAACGATGTTTTAATGTTAAAAAATAACAATTTTGTTTTTTTAACAAAAATCTACCTCCACCATTCAGAACGATATTTTAATATTAAAAAAACAACAATTTTGTTATTTTTTTAACAATAATCTGCCTCCAATATTCGGAATAGTATTTTAATGTTAAAAAAAATACAATTTTGTTTTTTTAACAAAAATCTACCTCTGATGTTCAGATCAGCATTTTATTATTAAAAATTAATTTTTTTAATAATAAATGCTGCGTCTGACTTTTGGGATGGTATTTTGTTATAAAAATTAATAAAAAATTAATTTTTTATTAAGGGTAGGGTATCCATTATAAGATCGATTTGTAAAATTTAGTGGCAAAACAATCAAAAATAAAAATAGATTTAACACATGGTTACATATGATTACACGTGATCACATCGATTCAAAGTATATAATTTATATATAAAATTAGTAAATTATTTTTTTTTATTTGATTTCAAAAGCTGATACCAATTATTGTTTTCTATATATTCTATAGCCATGTCCATAGTTCCAATAATATAATGTGAATTCATTAAACTTGAAAAACCTTCTTTTCAAGATTTGAGTTCAATCTCTTGTTTAATAACATTTTTTGAGATAAGTATATCAAGCAAATAATAGCAAGATTCATGTGTATTTATCTTATTATTTTTATTATATCCATATACTTTTAGACTTATAAGATCTTTATCACGCACATTAGCATTTTTAGCATCACAAAATACATCCACTATATCATGTATAGTTATACGAAAAAACTGTAAATTAGGATTTCTTCCTCTTAATACTAATTCTTGTACAATTTTTATCAAACGTAATGCCTCTACTTTTATGTCATACCAAACGGCTCCATCAGCTTCACGCCTTTTACAATTATCACATTCACCACATTCAAGAATATCAGGATCATTAGACCAAACGTATGATTGATATACTATTGGGGGGGGACACGGGCAGTTCCCACTAAGAAGGAATCTGCTCCCCAATGCCTTCCTGCTATATTACTTTGTATTTCCCTTTCCATTTCTCACATCTCTAGCTCATTATAATTACTAATTATATTTCTTGCCTAGCTGGAGACTCCACAATCTCAGAAATACTAATTATTAATCTTACTTAGCTAGACTCTTTGGAATTGTATAAATACAG